AGTTAAGAAGCTTTGTCTATTCAGCAGTCATAATTGAATGTGTAGTTTGCAAGCCTGCCAAATTGCTAAACCTAGATTTCTCATATTAGATAATGTGTAATAAAAGACAGCTGTTGCCAGCATATGCTGTGAATTGCACACCAGTTCCTCATTCATGATTTTTGATGCCATCAGTACAACCCTTAGAAAAGGTTCTGGCTGGGAGGGTTGACTGGGGAACACAGACCTCACTGGTCAGATTTTTGAATAGGCTGCTCACCCTAGGGAAAGGTTGCAGGAAAGGCTTTCTTTCCCAAAGTGCAAAACCCTTGATAAGACCTTAGACACACTTCATTTCACTTTAGGCAGGTAGTTTGGCGTGTGAGCTAGGTTGGACCCTGGGAACATTCCTTTCCACATCACCTGAGTCTGAGAGCCCAGATCAAAAACAAGTAAGCTTTGTGTCAAGATGTGGCACGTGTCAGAGAATTTGATAGTGCTTAATTTATTTAATTTTTTTTGTTTGTTTGTTTAAGTATTAGATGCTTGAAACAGCCTTGCAGCCAATACAGAATGGAAACTAATTTGTAATTTGACTTAATCTGACTTTTGGTGTGGCTGATAACCCAAATCAGCCAGTCCACAGGAACTGAACATCTATTATGCTTCTCATGTTGTGCTAGACAAATATTTTCATCTGTAACTAGTCAATTAGCTAGATAGAAAGGTTAGAAGTAGAGTGGTGGGGAAATCTCTGTAGAGGTTTCAGGTCTGTTCTGTGGATTAAAAGATTTTACGTTTGAATCTACCCAGAATGACTTTTGATTCAAAAGACAGATTTGATGAAATCTTGAAGTTCCTAGTAGATGTATTGATTTCTGGCATAGTAAAAGGGCATTTAAAATGGACAAGGCTCAAAATTTTACTAATAATTTAGTAATTCTTGTCACCATTCATCCACTTAGCAGCCACGTACTAAGGTACTACTTCCTTTGTTTTCTATTAGTACTTTTTCTACACTTTGTTTTGGATTTTTTTTTTTTTTGCTCTTGTCTGTTTTCTTTCGTTTTAGATCTTTTTGAATTTTAAAATTTATATTTATTTATTTAGTTGATAAATAATAATCATACATATTCATAGTATACATAGCAATGTTTTGATACACAGAATGTCTGGTGATCAGATCGTAGTAATTAGCATGTCCATCATCTCACACATTGATCATTTCTTTGTTTTGGGACTGTTCAATATCCTCCTTCTGACTATTTGAAACTAGTACGTAATATATTATTGTTAACTGTAGTTATCCTACAGTATGGAGCACTAGAACTTATTCTTGCTATCTAGCTATAATTTTGTATCCTTTAACAAATGTGTCCCTATCCATTTCTTCCCCCTACCCTTCCCAGCCTCTAGTATCCTCTGTTCTACTTTTTACTTGTATGAGATCAACTTTTTTTAGCTTCCACATATGAGTGAGAACATGTGGTGTTTAACTTTCTATTCCTGGCTTATCTCACTTAACATAATGTCTTCCAGTTCAATCCATGTTGCTGTGAATGACAGGATTTCATTCTTTTTTATGGCTGAATTGTATTCCACGGTGTATATATACCACATTTTCTTTATCCATTCATCTGTTGTTGGACACCTAGGTTGATGCCATATCTTGGCTATTGTGAATAGTGCTGCAATAAACATGGGAGTGCAGATGTCTCTTCGATATAATGATTTCCTTTCCTTTGGATGAATCCCAGTAGTGGGATTGCAGGATCATATGGTAGTTCTATTTGTAGTTGTTTGAGGGACCTCCATACTGTTCTCCATAGTGGCTGTACTAATTTACATTCCCACTAACAGTGTATAAGAATTCCCTTTTCTCCTTATCCTCACCAGCATTTGTTGTTTATTGGCTTTTTGATAATAGCTATCCTGACTGGGGTGAGAATATACCTCATTGTGGTTTTAATTTCCATTTCCCTGATGAAGAGTGATATTGAACATTTTTTCATATATTTGTTAGCCATTTGTATGTCTTCTTTTTCTTTCTTTCTTTCTTTCTTTTCTTTTTTTTTTTTTTGAGATGGCGTCTCGCTGTCACCAGGCTGGTGTGCAATGGCACTATCTTGGCTTACTGCAACCTCTGCCTCCTGGGTTGAAGCGATTCTTTTGACTTAGCTTCTCGAGTATCTGGGATTATAGCACTGGCCATCATGTCTGACTAATTTTTGTATTTTTATAGAGACAGGGTTTTAGCATGTTGGCAAGGCTGGTCTTGAACTTCTGACCTCAGTGATCTGCCCATCTAGGCCTCCTGAAGTGCTAGGATTACAGATGTGAGCCACTACACCTGGCTTTGTATGTCTTTTTTTTTTTTGAGAAATGTCTGCTCAGATCATTTGTCCATTTTTTATTTTATTTTTTTAATTTTTGCTGTTGCAATATTTCTGTTCATTATATATTCTGAATACTAATCCTCTGTTAAATGAGTAGTTTGCAAATATTTCCTTCCATGCCTCAGGTTGTCTTTTCATTCTGTTGATTGCTGTGCAGAATCTTTTTAGTTTAATGTAATCCCATTAGTTTAATTTTGCTTTTGTTGCCTGTATTTTGAAGATTTTATTCATAAAATCTCGTTCCAATCCAATGTGCTAAAGCATTTCCCCTATGCTTTCTTCCAGTAGTTTTATTGTCTTAGATCGTACATTAAGGTTTTCATCCATTTACTCATTTTCAGTTAATTTTTGTATATATAGAGAGGTATGGTCTAGTTTCTTTCTTCTGCATATGGATATACAGTTGTCTGTTTTCTTTCATTTTTAAATCTTGCCACATATTAGATTTTAAAATTTTACTTTATGTATTTTAGTGATTATCTTTGAATTTTTTCTGTGCTATTGAATTTAATAAAGGACAATATTGAATACTGTCTTTACATATTTCTCCTGAACTTGAATATTTAACTTGGCTCTTCAGCCACCTCAGTTGCTTTCATTTTTGTTTAGTAGTTTATTTTTATCTATTTCTCTATTTTTAAGTTTCCATTCTATTCCAGGCCCTGTGCTGGTCAGTGGGTCAGAAAGTAAAACAAATAACATTCCCCAAGAGGCCCAAAGCACACGGATGATTATGTACAGATATGAAGTATTTGATTCAGTGTGCATTTCATATAAATATATACATATATCTATAAATATATATAGCTCTCTATATATGGATATATGAATAATATGATGAATACTGATAGCAAGAGTAATATTTTAAAAATATAAGCCCTTATTTATGGATGCATAAGAAACTTTTATATAAAGAATAAAAAAGCCCTACTTATGATTATAGAATTTGAATTAAGGGTGGAAAACAAGCAGATGAAGATAGTAAAAATAGATTAAGAAAATATCAGTACAATATAAGGGAGAGACTGAGAATGCTTGGAAATAAGTTTGTTGCTCTCTTCTGAAAGGAGACCCACTAATATAAATGAATAGTCCCTGTGCTTATTAATGGTATACACAAGGTACAAAATCAGGTTATAACGAACCATACCAATCCTGGTAGGCATTCCACAGGTAGTGCTTATAAATTGAAAAGAGATACTTTTTAGCAAGACTAGAGAACATTCTTGGGTCTGAGCAATTTATTTCAGTCTTCAGTGTGATATAAGTGAATTGACGCCCAGAACTAACCAAAGAGAAAAATATAATTAATTACAGCAAATGGGTAAAGAGAGATCACCTTTCCATTACATTAGCTTTACTGACTGGTGGCTGAATTCTTAACACTGGTCTATTACAGGAAATTTGTGAAAATGCTGGCATTTGGTACCTGGTAATTCAAATTTCCTACAGTGATGTAGGCTTCACTCCTAAAGCCTGCCTTAATGAGCATTTCATTTGTGTAACATGTTACATAAGCATTAATATTCTATGTATTTTTCTCCTGGTTTTCATCCTTTACTTATTTTGCTTTGTCTAGACTGACTATGCATTGATCTCTTGATATTTTTTGTGTTCATGTATATATGACAACCATTTTAGGTTGACAATTAAAAGTCGTGGGTTAGCTAGTAGCTTATATTTTGGGCCGTTGAACCAGCACTTGAGAATAGGGCTAATAAACATTTCATGAACAAACAACCAAACAAACAAACAAACAAAAAACAAATGAAAAACCTCACAAAAACAAAAACCTAGGGCAATTTTCCTAAAAAGTAAGTTGCCACCTTTTGTTGACATTTCTTGTGTTTACAGCGGTAGAATGTGTCCTGAAAGCTTAGGTTTGTATGATCTTTTCCAAAAGTACAGAGGAATGAAGGTGATATTATTTATACCATTTATACTATTCTGAGGTTCCTTTCCTTCCTTGGCTGGAAATTGCACTGCATTCTTCCAAAACTATTATAAAAATAAATCATAAGCAGAATTGAGATTTTGAGTTCCTGGTTTCACCTGAATTGTGTTTCTGTGTGTGTCGGTTGTTTAGAGATTATTTTATCCTACTAAAAACAGTAACATAATGAACCATTATAGTAAATACAGTCATTTCATCAACATCTCCAAAAACTATGAAGTATTCAGGTTTCATATGCCATTCTATGTATGCTGTTTTTCTTTGGATTTCAATGTGATTACAAATTGTTATGGTTAATCTTTCAGAGGCTGTTTTAAATACACATCAGAGATGAAGTTCTTTTTGGAAGCTTTGGAGTTTTGCCACATTATATTAACTCTTTTGCCACATTGTATTACTATCTAAGCCTCTCTTAATCTTTTAATTGGAATGCCTAGAATCCTGTCTCCCTACTCTCCTCTGCTATCACTAGAGAACTGAAACGGCTGCCTTTATACAACAATCTCCCAGGAATTGGACCAAAGAGGGTGATAAATAACTGTGTGTGTGTGTGTGTGTGTGTGTGTGTGTGTGTGTGTGTGTAGTGAGAGAGAGAGAAAGAGATGCTTAGAACATTTTACAGTGTATCTTGAAGACCCTGAGATAGCTATATGCTTTTTTGTATTTTTCAGCTTGCTTTAACCAGATCAAGTTCCTTAAGTGACTTTTCCTGGTCTCAAAGGTAAAGAGATTGAATTATTTTTTTTGTCTCTCCCAACATATTTAGGAACACAGCTCTCCAGACTGTTTCTCTCTCTCTCTCTCTCTCTCTCTCTCTCTCTCACTATCTCTCTCTCTCTCTCTCTCTCGCACTCTTTCACACACACAAAGACACACACACACACACACACACACACACAGAATCTTACATACTATAATTTACATAAATGTCAGTTATTTTTAATTGTGACAGTTATTTTTAATGATAAATCTGTGCCAAATGTGATACTTTGATTTTCATACAGTTTCTTTTTAAAATCTTTTTATTACAGAAAGCTTGTTACTGTGGAGAAGCAGGATAATGAAACATTTGGATTTGAAATTCAGGTGGGCAGTTTTCACATTTTCTAGGCTTCCACGGAAGAAACTGGCATTGGTAGTGTCATGTTATGTGCAAAGGAAAAATGAAGTTAGGATTAGAGAATGGTAGAGTCTATGATTTTTATTCAGTGTGTGGTTGTTTGGGGATAGTTTTTCAGTGTGTTGCGTACTATTAAGGAAAGAAAACATTGAAGATAACCTAAAACCCCCGAGATATGCTCAGCAGTTTGTGCTTCGTTGCTTCAGTCTTCCCTTAAGTCCCAGACTGATCAGAAATGGTTGGCATCAGCCAGGTCTTAGATAAGAGAGTGAAATATATTTTACAGATGTGCATTTTATATATTTGCATTTTGAATATGTTTTGCATAATCACATTGTTATACTGTATATCAGATTTTAAATATTTTACTTTGACATTCAAGAGACACTCGAAAGACTATGCATCTGTGTGTATGGAACACATATATTCATGGATAGCTCCTGGTACGTTTTGTTACTAAAGAGTTCATATTGTAGATAATGAGAAATTTGTAGCTTTTTTCTCCTAATGACAATGCTTTATAATTGTTATTTGAAATACTTGAGAACATTTGGCTCTACTTGCAGATTGCCTCATGCTGTAGGAAATTTTTAAGTCTTCATAGGTTTCAGCATAATTGCTTAAGAATTTCATTGCTTATTTGCTGTCTGCTTTTTCATGACCACATTTGTAAAGTGGGTGAGGTTGGTCAAATGAAGTCTAACCCAATTAAGTGCAGCAGTAGTAGCTTAAGCATTTCTGGTTTTCTTTTTTCCATAGTACGTTTGCATGTCTTTTGGATGTGTTTTGCATAATCATATTCTTACATTCTGTATCAGATTTTAGATCTTAGCTTTAGTGCTGCTTTCAGAAAACTTTGGTGTGATATCAGCCCCACAATTGGAAAGTCAGTGTGTATTTTAAGATTAGGAACAGGAAGCTGCTAAGCAAAACATGTTTTATGAGTAAAGAAACAAAATGAGACTCAAGCTGCAATGAGGGGAGAGAAGGCACTAGGAGAAAAGAGGATCACTTCTACTTTCTGAATTCTTCTACTTTTAAATTTGGTGAAATCTGTAATTCACCACCGTAACTGGTGAAATCCATTAGATTTTAGAAGCATAGTATTCACTCTTATTCCCCACTTATATGAAACACTCCCTATTCTGTTGTAGAGACACTGCTTTTTGTCACTGTTTCTTTTTAAAGGAGAATTATCCTCAAGGATGTGCAGCAGTGGCTACTAAAAACAGGATAAATGACTACTCACCTTTTTTTTCTTACACTGCTAAAATATATGTCACCACTTTCTTAAGTTTTTCTCCAACACCATAAACACTTATTCTACATGGAGCAAGAGTCAAAACTATGTCAGGCCACAGCACCATTGAACCTTTGTAGATCAACATAAACTAATGGCTATACCTCTAAATAGCAGCATGTATCTGTTACCTCTGTGATGCAGGAACCCATACCCCTGTAAATTCTCTTTGGTATATGTTCCCTATTGTCAAATACACATCATAATCTATTTCCTAATAGTCATCAGATTTGCAGCAGTCAACAAATAGGAGAAATGCTTCTGGGAACTTTTGAAGAGCAGATACAACTTCATGTACCCATACTATGGATGCAGTGTGGATGCATGTTTTGGATCTGGCCTAACACTTTGGAAGAGACCAGATCTTTGGTTCTCCATGGATGCTAGTTTTATGCTATTTATGAGAATCATGCAGCATGATAGGAATGCAGACTTTGGACTCATGCTCACCTGAATTTATATCCTCTCAATGGTTGCCTTATGGGATCCTTAGGAGTTTTAAATGAAACAATACATGTAATGTACATAGTGATGTCCCTGGTACCAACAGAAGATCCACAAATGACAGATGTTAGAATGAAGGTCACTGGTCATGAGAAAGGACAAAGAGATCATCGTGTCTCTAAGAAATACAGGTGATCATTGTGTCACTGGTCCGATAATGTCACTGATCACTTAATGGGAGATAGAAGACTGGGTAATGGAGAGAAGTATCTGATTAATTCTTTCTGTAACTTTGGGGTTTCTGTTTTTTTTTCTCTCTATCCCTAACTCCCAAATTTTACACCCAATGTGAATATATATGGAGGTGTCAGCTACATAAATCATCATGTTTCCACTGCACTGTACTCACTTTGGTCTCTGGGAATGGAGGGTAGAGTCTCACTGCTAATGCGAATTGTTAGAACAGTGGTTTCCCAAAGGAGTGTCAGTTATATCTTTTGTTCATTTACCACATGAACTAGATCAGCCTTTCATCTCCAGAAAGGTCTAGGCTGTACTGAGAAGACCCCTGGCAGGAAAGCTGTTAATGAAGTTTCTGGTAGATGGGAATGTAGTGCATGATCTTTTAAAGTCTCTTCTACATTTAAGATATGGGGATTCTAAGTGCCTTATAGATTGGAAATCCTTTTGAGGTGAACAGACCCAAGTTTCTAGAAGTTGCTTGCATATAGCTGACTTATGGTGTCTCAGGGATTATTGAACAAGAAGGAATGAACATCAGACATTATTTTCTTCACAAGGAAGTAGTACTTTAATGTAGCTTGATTTTAGGAATCAGATGTTTAAAAGACATCCTCAGAACACTGATTTTGCTTTTAGGTGGAACTGGACTTTGTGATTTAAATGTGTGACAAAGAAAATTATATTTGTTATAGGTCATAGGGACACTATATCTTGCAAACATTTATTCGGTGTTTTGGTATAATTAAAAATTTAAAAAAACCCACCACCACTAAACTACTTGTACCTAATTGAGGCAAGAATCGAAGCTTAACTTTTTCTAATTTAGTTGGGTGACTAATGAACCGGTGAGGATTCAGGACAGGCATACCAGAGGGTGCTCAGAAATGAAGGTAATTGAGTCAATTATAGTACTTTTGAATAAATGTAGGGCAGATTGTCATTATGTGCAGAACTCTGATTTAAAATAATTATTGTTGGCATGTCTCCTTGCTGCATGTGTACAATTTCATACTCCTATAATGAGTGTTTTAGCTTGGGAGAACCACTTACGGATTTTTCTCATTGCACTTGCCCATCGTTGTTTTATCCCATTGGGAAATGAGAAACTCAATTTTTTAAAAATAAATATGTAATCATGACAGCATCAGGTGATATCTTGGGCTTGAAAATGTAAAATCTTGAACCACTCTCATTTCACTTTCTCATGACAGATGTCTTTATGAATGGAGTTGGCTACAGATTGTCTGGTAGAATTGCAAAATTGATACCTTGATTCAGTTTATAGTGGAAATCCTTTCCAAATTGTCCTTTGAACTTACCTATTATACTGCTTAATGGTAATTGACACCATTTTATTTTTTGGCAAATAGATGTTGAGTTTTTGAAATAGTAACTATATATCACCTTAATTTTGACAGACTTACAGGCTCCAGAATCAGAATGCCTGCTCCTCGGAAATGTTCACTTTGATATGCAAAATACAGGAGGACAGCCCAGCTCACTGTGCTGGCCTGCAAGCTGGTAACTTACATTTGCTCATGTTAGGACTCATTTAAATAGCAAGAAAATAAAATGTTTTGAGAGAGTGAAGGTCAGGATGTATTTGTTGCCTTGAATTTTCTTAGCTCCTTTATGTTTTTAAGACTTGGAGCTGCTTGTTTCATTTGCATGTCAGGAGGGATTATTTAACTAACCAACATAACACTCATTTTTCTTGGCATCTCCCAGGTGATGTCCTTGCAAACATCAATGGTGTGAGCACAGAAGGTTTTACCCACAAGCAAGTCGTTGACCTGATCAGATCGTCTGGAAACCTGCTAACGTAACTATCTGTCTTGTCCTGTGGGGCTTCAAAATGTTATGGTTTCTCATCATGCCTGATGAGTGAATAAATAGGCTTTTTGTTCAGCATCACAAGACAGAGGGGGGAGGCAGTGCATCGGAGCTTTAGTGCTGGGAACAAACATTATCAGTTCCTTTTGTTTCTCAAGATTCCTCCAACTTGAACACACTGTCAACATCTGAAGTCAGAGGACATATTAGCCCAAATGTCTGTGTGGGAAGGATGGCCTTTAAAATGTATTTTTTTTATGTCAAATCCAATTAAACTGGCACCCATTGTCTTTAAACTGGGAGGAACTGATCTAATTTCCATGGTTGATGTAATCTTGTAGCTAAAACAAATAAAAGGTCAGAAGGGCTGAGTTTTTCCTCTTATGTGACAAGCCACCTGTTTTTCTCCACTAGTGTTCCATTTGGAAGGAAGAATAGTCTGTTCAACCCTTCCCACCCTGAAACACACATACACCACATGTTCCAAATATTTCAAACTTCTTGATGGAATAGTGGCTTTTCTAATTAGAGATTTGATTGACGTTTCTACTATAACAATACCAGCACCTAATAAGTTCTTATTAGGGTAGTTACATGATGAAATTCACTCGTGCATTAAAATCATATTTCTTGAGTGAATATATTTCCAGCTCTGTGATAGGTTCAGGAGAGACCAAGATAAAGACTCTCTTAGTATGTTAATAATTATGGAAGGAAATGACTCAGAAAACCTGAAATTTAAGCAGTGTTTATATTTCAGTTATTGATAACTACCATGAGAAAAGTGCAAAACAGCAGTGGCCTGTCATGCTGGGTAAGGAGGCTGCTACTTTGGCTTAGATGTGTAAAGTGTAAAGATCTTTTTTAGGGAGGCAATATTTGAGTTGAGATCTAAATGAAGAGAAGGATGGTCAAATGAACCCCTGGTAAGAACACTTCAGGCAAAGAGAGAGGTTTCTGAGTTCTCAAAATGGGCTTGGCACGTACAAGAGAAAGAGAAAAAGTCAGTGTAATTGGTAGTTGATGGATTAGAGAGAGTATAATAAGATATGAAGCCAGAGAGTTGGCCTGGGGGCAGACCATGGATCTCTTTGGCCATGCCAACAAGTTTGGGTTTTATTCTGATTGAGGTGGGTCCTATATTGTCTCATTTATTCTTCACAACCACTGATAAGGTTAATTTTATTTCTATTTATAGTTGAAGTGCTTGAAGCTTAGAGAGGGCTTAGTTAAGGTCACACAACTAGTAAGTGATAGGGCTGGGATTTGACCACCTGCTCTGGATGCCAGGATCTGTCCTCTTCAACTACAGCTGCTCATTGGAAGCTGCCAATAGAAAATCTACTGGATGCTCTTCAGCGATTCTGGTCTAAAACTTCAAAGGATGCTTTTGGTGTTTGTTCAAGTAGATTTGAAAGATGGTGGTGGTAAATAATTGAGTCCAACTCTATGGGTCCTGTGAGTTGAGGGTAAAGGATGGGACAGTTTTGCTCTAGAGAACCCTGGATCCAAAGGAGAGGAACCATGGCGAGTGTAGGGGGAGCTGTTAGTGGTTAGAGTCAAAAAGCATGTTTCACATGGGTGAAAAGGGTAGAGCACAGGTAAATAGGGGTGGCAGGTAGAGGTAATTTTTGGAAATTCAGGGAAATGAGACAGTCTATACAAATACTGAGGAAAGTGGCCAATGAATGGTTGCAGTTTTGCCCACACACATCTATTACTTCAGCAGGTCAAACTGACATTCAATCACTATTAAACAGATTCATATGGATTCCCACTATTTCTTAGAGAATCAAGATCACCCTAAGGAGAAAACAGACAGCATTTTGGCTTTCTACCATCTGATTATCTCTGGAATGATGTTATAAGAAATAGAGGAAAACTGAGCTCCACGTTTAATGCTTTTACCATGCCTTGAAACATTTCCTTGCATCTTTATAGAGTTACAGCTTAATTACAAGAAGGGACTTGAACCAACACTTTAAGAATTAGTGTGTGATTCATGAATGAAATTTTTAAATCATATTCAGATTGATGGTTTCATAGTCAAAATAAAACCCTTTAACTTGAACACACAGAACAAATCAAATCACTTCTAATGGAACAAGTATTTTATTTTTAGAAATGAGTGTGGTGTAGGAAGAACAGAACACTGGTAAGTTGATAATTCTAGGATTAGCATTTGTAAACTGAATGTTTTGAGATGAAAAAGTCATATGAAGGTTACTATCTCATAGTAGTTGTAGTCTGTTTCTTCTAGTACCAAAATTATATGGAGATTTACAGAGGTAAAGGCTCCTAGAATCCTAGGGCGGAAAGAATTGCTCCCTCTTTCAAAAAATAACATGTTAATCCACAGTTGTGAAAGCCCCTAGTGCCTACTGTTTCTGTCGTTGTGCCCCTTGTGTTCAGCATGGTGTCTAGAATCTGGCACATAGTAGATGCCCAATAAATATTTACCAAATGAGTGAGGTGATTCAGGCCATCCCCACAAGAACAGATTCTACTAGAGATCAGCCATCATTGTCATATGGTGACGTCTATAAAATGAGCTGTAGTTTACAAATTAACTAGGATCCTTTCTTTTAGCCACATTCTCAAGGGGAGTTTTCCCCCATTTTATTTCTCTGAATGTTATCAGAAGATTTGGCCTTGGTCCAGCTACTCACAGTGCCATGAGAACTGTAACATTTATATTTTGTTTTTAGTGTAATGTGTGCTCAAAGTGTAGTACTCCGTAATATGGTACTTATTTAAATGAATCACTCACGTTACTCACTCCCTCCTCTTCTTCTTTTTTTTTTTTTTTCTTAAACAGGATAGAGACTCTTAATGGAACAATGATTCTCAAAAGAACGGAGCTTGAAGCAAAGCTGCAGGTTTTAAAGGTAATTTAATTTAATGCAGTGAGGCACATTTTTCATCCTTGAATGTGTGAGTGGTAAAATAAAGATCTATTTGAGGAACTGAGATAGCCCTTGAAAAAGAAATGTCATGATGAATCTGAACTGCTGAATTATCAAGAGCCATGCAATTACCTTTGGAGGAATATCAAATTCTGCAAACCAATATAAATGACTTTCTTCCTTCCTCCTTCTGTGTGTCTATGAGGCTCAGAAAGGCAGCAGGAAGGCACGCCACTCGAACTCTTCATTAGTGCACCTGTGATCTCTCTTGAGTTACATTTTGTTAGGAACTAACGCAAAAAAAAGTCATTATTTCCCCAAGTGTGTCAGAGGGTCTGGGTTTTTCATTTTTTTTCACGTCCTCTTTTGGTGTCCTTCTCTTCTGCCTCATTCTTAAAACCAAAACCTTATCCGTCTAATCCTGTGACTGTCCTTGAATCTGCTTTCGTTGGAAAATACACTAACAACTTCAAAGGAGAAAGAAATTAAGTATCCAAGAGGTAGTAAATAATGGAGGATGTTCAGTGAAAATTCCCTGGGATGGTTTTTTGAAGCTCTGAAAAATCTCAGTTTTCTGGGCTGTTGAGGGTCTCCTAAGCCATGAAGTCCAGACCCTCACTTACGCATGTGAGTTAGAGTTCTAAAGACCTCTCTGCTTGTCTCAGTGACCTCTGCATCCCTATTATCCCACTTGCATGGCAGCAAGGTAGCCAATCTGAACAGAGATTGTAGTTTCCTATAGGCAGGTTGCTCACTCTGGCTTTATTTAGAAATAACTGCCATTTATTAGTTTTATTCATGAAATATGAGTTTATTAATTATTGAGCCCAAGAGAGTGAATTTTATTTTGTATCGTTTTCTTCCTCCACATCTGATTCATCACCAAGTGTTGCTTTTTTCATCTACTTTGGTTTGGATACTCCTGCCACTGTGCTTATCTCTGTGCTTTTTTCAATCAATTTATAAAATTCCTTGAAAAAGCCTCTGCTCAAATTTTGATAGGAATTGACTTGTATTCATAAAATAAATGAGAGCAATTAAAATCTTTATGGCTCTTACTTTTCTCACTTTGAATTCAGGATCTCGATCTTTTTATTCATATCTTTTATGGACTTCAAAAATATTTTGTAATTATCTTCCTATATTTTACATATCTTTTATTTTATTTATTCTTGTGTACTTCCTCATTGTTCTTGCTATATTCATGTTTTAAATTTTCAGCCACTTATTGCTAATGATTTTGTTTACATTTTAAAAATCCAGTTTTGTTGAACTCCCTTTATTCTAATAATTTTTATAGTTTCTTATATTTTTATATCAATTTTATATCATTTGCAGATTATAAAATTTTTTGCCCCTTTAGCTCAATTATTGAAACTAATTATTTTTCTTCTCTTATAGCATTGGCTAGGATCATCAATATATTGTAAATAATGATAATCTTATTGTTGACTTTAAAGAAAACATTTCTAAGATTTTTGTTATTAATATTTTTATGACGAGTAAACAGTGCTTCATATTGTACTTGAATTTAATGTTAATTTGCTTTTGCAAAAGAAATATAATCTTAGTGAACATCTTTTTTGAAAAGTTAAAACTTTTTCACCTTTTCTTAGAAAAATAAATATTGAAAACAAGAATAAAAAATAGGGTTATATTTTATGGAATAAAGTACGAACTTGCACAAAACATTATTTCATGCCTTTAAGCAATTTCTATTCTTTGCATATTTTTGCCTTGTTTCAATATACATTCTTGCCAATGTATGAATTTTCAGTATCGCCATCCTCTTCCAGAACATCATGAGAACCATAAAATGCTTTAAATGCCCATTTAAGACCCTACATTCCTTACTATACTTACTTTAGATAATTTTTTTAATCAATTTTCTAAAAGTACAAAATACAGGTTTTTCTTCTAAATAGATGGTAGTGAACAGAGCACCAACTTGTTCCTTTTGATATGCTTGCTGTTGTTTGTTGCATTCTACTCCTCACCTCTGGGTTTACTTTCTTTCCTGCTGTGGTACTTCCGTCTGTGATGGTAAGTAGATTTTTGTTGAAAAATGTTTTTATTTCACTGCTACTATTGGAAGAGAGTGTTGATGGGTAATTTAATTATTCTAAGTAGGTGTTTAGTTCCCTTAGCACTTTGAATTTATTACTCCTTTCGTATTTTTGTTGATGAGAGAGCTTCTAATTGTTTTTGGCAGGTAATCTATATTTTCTGCTAAAGGTTTTAACATTTTTCCTTTTCACATGTAAGTCCTTAATTCATCCAGCATTAATTTTTGCGTATATTATGAGGTATGGGAAAAATTACAATTTGTTTTTTTATGTGAAAATTCCAATTTAATTTTTGTTCCAACTGAATAACCAGTTCTTCTAGTATTATTTATTTTGTAGTCCCCCTTTTTACCCTTCAACTGATTTGCAATAAAACCTCTATTCTTTTTTTTTTTTTTTTTTTTTTTTTTTGAGACAGAGTCTTGTTCTTTCACCAGCCTGGAGTACAGTGGCACAATCTTGGCTCACTGCAATCTGTGTCTCTTGGATTCAAGCAATTTCCCTGCCTCAGCCTCCTGAGTATCTGGGAGTACAGGCATGCACCACCACTCCTGGCTAATTTTTGTGTGTGTGTGTGTGTGTTTTAGTAGATAGGATTTCACCATGGCCAGATGGTCTCGATCTCCTGACTTCATGATTCACCTGCCCCGGCCTCCCAAAGTGCTGGGATTACAGGTGTAAGCCACTGTCCCCAGCCAAAACCTCTATTTTTAAGCAAGTTCCACATGTGCATGTATTTGCTTATAGGCTTTCTAATATGATCCATTGGTCAATTTTTTTTATCCCAGATTGTCTATAATAAATCTTGTTATCACATTGGGCATAGTTATTCTTGGTCCTTAGATCATCTATATAAATTATAAAAATAAATTATATGTAAATAAATATTGGTGTTTTGATTGATATCGAATTTTGTTTATCTATTTTTGGAGACAGGGTCTTGCTCTGTTGCCCTTGCTAGAGTGCAGCAATGTGATTATAGCGCACTATAGCCTCAAACTCCTGGGCTCAAGCAATCCTCCTGTCTCAGCCTCCTGAATTGCTGGGATTACAGGCCTGAGCCACCACTCACGGCTCTGATAGCACATTTTATATATAGAGAGAGATCAATTTGAGGAAACTGCATCATATCTCTAATAAATTATCTGAAGATTATTTTGGGTTTACTGTAGAGATAGTAACTATCTGTTATGAATGAGCTTTGCTGCTTTTTCTTACTTTACTTCACAGCTTAGGAGCTACCATACCACAATGAATACAAACTGTAGTTGTAGGCATCCTTGTTTATTCTTGATTTTAAAGGGAATTCTTCCTAATTTCTTTTTCATTAGGAATGAGCTATCTTTCAGGTTAAGGAGACTCCATTCTATATGAAGTTTGCTTGTAGTTTACAGTGCTTGTGTATTAAATTTTATCAAATACCTTTATCTGCATCTGTTAAGCTGGTCTTATTTATTCATTTGAAAAAATTCAGTTAATAAGTGAATGACATTTAAACATATTCTACTATAAGGCTACCATTTCATTTCTAGGCTAAACTCAACCTGGCTTAGCTTTGAAATTTATAGTTTGTAGTTGTAATCACAGGCTTGATCTGTGAGTATTTTCTTTAGGATTTTAAAAGATAGCTTTATTTTTCAGGTAGACTGGTCTATAGGTTTCTTTCCTTAGATTATCTTTTTACGTTTTGGAATCAAGTTTACTCGACCTGGGGACTGTTTTCCTCTTCTTGTTTTCTGGTAGAATTTTTATAATGTCATCTGAATCATTTCATCTTAGGGTTCTTTTTTGATGGGAATACTGTTAACATACTGTTTCAATTTCTTTATTAGTTGTGAGACTACTCAGGAATTCTGTTTTTTTTTTTTGTTTTTTTTTTTTTTTTTTAAGCCAGTTTTAGTGACTTATGTTTTTGTTAACAAAGTTTTTAAATTTATTAACTGAGTTGACAGTAAAATATTATTCTAATACTTTAAATTTTTGTCAAAAATTGTTTGTGTGCCTCCATATTTTTTCTTGCATCTTATACCACTTTTTATGCCTTCTTTGTTTTTTCTTGATACTTTTCTCCATAGGATGTTCAAGTTTTGGGTGTTTTAAAAGACCAGTATTTGTGGCAAGATTTAATCCTTTTTCTGGTTGCTTTAAGATATTCTTTTGTCTTTATTGTTCTACAGTTTTACTACAATGTAAATAATTCTGGATTAATTTCTAACCTTATACTATGTAGAACTTACAGTGTTCTTTCTGTTTAAAGACCTTCTTTAGCTTTGGAAAACTGTCAACTCAATCTTTTTTGAATATACCTTCTATACCACTACTGTATTATCTTCTGGAATTCCTGTTAAACCTAGTTTCTTGATTTATATTTCATGATTCCTAATGACTATTTCATGTTTTTATCTCGTTTGCTTTTCGTGTTATATTCTTTCTGAATTCCTCAGTAACATCTTCAAAAATGTTCTTGTTAGCTGTCTGTATAGAATGTGTTCTTTGTATTAAGTTATAAAAATTAGTTTGTTATCAATTGAATACTTATATGAAATAAAATATTAAATAAAATAGCATTTGATGTTGTATAGCTATAGATGAGACTATTGGTATGAGGTCATATTTTTACTTATATAGACAAAATAACTTCACGATATTCTTATTTAGAATAATATTTCTTTTCTGCTGTATATTTGCTAGCTTTTGATAAAATCTTATGAAAGCTCAATAGAAATCAACAAAACGAATCTTTGTTTTACCCCAAGCATTACTGATGCATATGCTTGTTTTCTTAAAATCCATTACCTTTTTATAAAAGATTTATACTTTTTGGAAGTGTGTTGCTTATTACTGAGAAATGGCTGTCCTGCCAGAAAACTGCGATTCTTATCTGTACCCACACTGACTAATAGTGAGTGGAAGTAAAGTGGATAGAAGGCAAAAAAAAAAAAAATAAAAAATAAAAAATAGTGTGTTATTATCTTGTAGTTCTTTTTCATGTCCATCTATTCTTGTTTTATTTTTTCATTTCAAATTTCTTGTTCTTAAAAACACTGATCTTATTTATCTCTCAGAGGATTACAAACATTTTTATTTTAAAGTCTTTTTTTGATACCTTTTATTTTCATTTTGCTTAGAGAGAATTCATGTACCAATGATCAATTTTATTATCTTTTTTATCATTAAAACATCTGTGACTGTTTGAGGGTTTAGATGGTCTACTTCCCTTGCATGTCATATAGCCTCTTCCTTCAGCACAGTGTTACAAATGGATGCTTGTCCCCACTCAGCACTTCAAGGCTACCAATCCAGAGCCAGGTCTAGGAGCTTAGATGCCTTCCCCGGGGACCCAGTGAGCTGTTTGGCTTAAGTCATGAGGCTGTGCTTAGGTACTCCTGCCTCTCTATGTATAAGCTCTACATAAGCCATAGCCAGCAGCAGCAGCTTTTCTCAGCCTCCTTTCCCAGTGATGGAGATTCAGCCAACATTCTTTCCTTAAGCAGAAAACCTGGCTCAGACCTTGGTTTCAGATAGGTGCATTTACACCGTATATTGCCATAGAATTTCTTTCTGCTTCTCCATATCCAGAAGACTTTAAAGTTTATTCTGTTTTCCATCTTGCATGTCTGTCGTATTTCTAATCTTGAAATTATGAGATTCCATTTATCTCTTGAGCCAGAAATGTTTCAGCCTGATCCATAGTCACAGTCAGCCTGGTTTCCCCTCCACACAATGACATTTACTATGTGCATCCTTTGTAAGTGAGCATTCTGTCCCTCAAAGACTCTTCATGGGGCCACCAGCTCTTCTTTAGAAACAGTCATCCTTTCTGAGCCATATTTTCAGGGATTCCCATTCTTCTGACCTATGATTCAAATGTTTAACATGAAAGCAACACATCCAATGGGCTAGCTGGGAGAGCTAGTTTGTAATCTACTTCTGCTATTTACTGGGTTTGTAGTGCTTGGGGAATATTTTGCTACACTGAATCTCATTTTCGAATCTGTAACTTTTTAGAGAAGTTATGAAAATTAAATATCATGTTATCAGTGAAAGCACAATTCAAGTACTAAAGTGTCATGGAAATGTTCAGCTGTGTATCTTCTATAGATTGAAAGCATTGGAAACTTCTTTGGAACCAATGTGTGATAGCTGAGAGTTGTTTTAGGAAGCCATTTTTTTCACGTATTCATTCAACCATTATTTACCGAGCAGCTGCTATGTAGCTGGCACTGAACTAGGCACAGTGAGGTGATGCTGCCCAGTATGGTTAGATCTCACTTGTGCTGTAATTCTCCCCTAATGATGAGAGTTCAGATATGTCCCAATATACAATTCTGATGTCAGTTACACAGGCAGAAACTGACACATAGGAAAATAGGGAAGGTTGGTTACAGATGAAAAACCCTTAGTCACTTTGACACATCTGCTCTTCACACTGGTATTTTCTTGGTTTAAGTGATGACATACTGAAATGACTGGGCCAAATCAACAAATCAGGCATGGCAAAATCTTTATTTTCTTTAAAAAAATGACTAAATGGCCAGTGCTGACTTTGTAGTTTCGGAAAGTAAGTACAGAAATATAGTTTCCTCTTCTTTCTGTCTCTAGTTTTGACTGCGGACCCATCCCTGTGCTCCTCCACTGGACTCTAGTCTCTTGTAGGGAATAAGTCTCTTTAAGGAATATGAAAGGGTTGGTATGTATGCCACATACTTGCTAGCCTTATACTCCCCCTGGACTTAAGTGATCCTCCTACCTCAGCCTCTTAAGAACGGGTGTGCACCACCATACCTAGCTAATTAAAAATATGTATATATTTTTTGTAGAGATAAGGTCTCACTATGTTGCCTGGGCTTGTTTCAAACTCCTGGTCTCAACCAGTCCTCCTGCTTCAACCTCCTAAAGTGCTGAGATTACGGGTGTAAGCCACTGCCCCCAGACCTCAAAGCAGTATTACAGCTATTCTAGACTATATTGTGGTACAGAAAAAACAACAAGTTGACTGAGTCAAGCATTGGATTAATTTATTGCTTGCATTTTATATTGGCAACCATAAGGGTTGTTGTTAAATGTTACTAGTATCAGGGTTTGGAAAATTATGCCCAGTTATTGTTCAGTCTTTGAACACTGAGGAATAAGTCATGTTCCCCTTAAGCATTTAATGATGCTCTTGCAATTTTATTATTTTCTTTTCCTTAGTCCTTGTCCAAATATATGTTTTTTTCCTTTTTTTTTTTTTTTTTTTTTTTTTTTTTTTTAGCCTTCATCTACTCCTTGGAGATTGCTTTGTGTGAAGGAGTGCTTGTTTCAACTAGGCTGTCTTTCCTTTGTCATAAGAGTCGACAGGCAAACCTGAGCTGTGCCCACTTGCTGGACTTGCTATAGGGACCTGAATTGGCAAAGGAAGGGGAAGAATAGAAGACGGAGAATGGGAGACAGTGAGCCTATGGCTGAGTCTTTTCAGATGCCTCCTGCCTAGTTTTTAGATTGCCATTGCCTCAGTCCCCTCTGTGGGAAAGGTCTTGACTCATGTGGCAGCTCCTTAATTCCCACTGTGGGCCTCAGCTCTCATGTGCTGGGGCAACCAAGAAGGGAAGCATTTAAGAAGTCAGGGTGCTTAGCAGTGTTCTAAGTTTAGCCCACTAAGAAAGCATTGCAGATAGTTCTGTTCTCCTTTTTGGTGTGGAAAATAAAGAGCTGGCTGACAGAAAAGGCTGTGTTAGGGCCTCAGGCTTGTATGTTGATGATGTTATTTGTAGAGCATTTACTAAGTTCTAGTCAATGTTCTAAACATTTTACATCTCTTCACTCATCTAATCCTCATAACGTTTCCAGGGTTTAGGATCTATTATTGTCTTCATCCTACAGATGTGGAAATCCTAGAGGGTAAATCCTTGCCTTTTCTTTTTATTTTTTATTTTATTATTATTTTTGTAAGAGACGGGGTCTCGCTATGTTGCCCAGGCTGAAGTGCAGTGGCTATTCACAGGCATGATTCCACTACTGATCAGCACGGGAGTTTTGACCTGCTCTGTTTCCGACCTGGGCAGGTTCACCCCTCCTTAGGCAACCTGGTGGTCTCCTGCTCCTGGGAGGTTACCATATTGGTGCTGAACTTAGTGCAGACACCCGACCAGCATAGCACACTACAGCCCAGAACTCCTGGGCTCAAGCGATCCTCCCACCTCAGCCTCCTGGAGTAGCTGGGACACAAACCCAAATAATATTTTTAAAATAATTTTTTAAAATAAAAATATATAGTTTTGTTTTTCTTTTTTTTTTTTAAAGAAAACTAAATTATTTCTTGAGAGAATAGTATTCCCAATATCCTCCTTTTATAGAGCAAAAATATTTTAAATGGACGAATGGATTGGGAGTACTAGGAAAAAAAATGTGAAGAAACTTAATGACAGGCCAGGTGCAGTGTCTCATATTTCATCAGCATGTTGGGAGGCTGAGGTGTGTGGATCATGAGGTCAGGAGTTTGAGACCAGCCTGGCCAACATGATGCAACCATGTCTCTACTAAAAATATAAAAGGCTTGGTGGCAGATGCCTGTAATCCCAGCTATTCAGGAGGCTGAGGCAGGAGAATCACTTGAAACCAGAAGGCAGAAGTTGCAGTGAGCCGAGATCTCACACTGTACTCCAGCCTGGGCGACAGAGTGAGACTCCATTTCAAAAAAATAAATGAATGACAAATCTCAACACCTAGAATTAAATTGCTAGCTTTGCTGGGGTTTCCTAATAATTGTAACTTTTTTTTTTAATCTCACAGCAAACCTTGAAACAAAAATGGGTGGAGTACAGATCTCTGCAGTTACAGGAACATCGTCTGCTTCATGGTAAATGCAATTTCCTGTTGAGAAACCACAGTAACATTACTTCTTTCAGTATTTCTGCCTCTAAGCTGTTTTAAGGTTATCATCATTACAAGAAAAATTTGTCTAGTGCTGGTCAAAGAAACGAATCTGTGTTTCTTTGGTGTGAGCTTTGGAGTGACTGTATTTGGAGGAGGGATAAGTGAAATCAGATCCACTATTCCACATACATGACACATATGCACATGGATGAACATGCTTGAAAACAGGCATCTGGAAATTTTAGATCATTGGGGAAGATTGCCTGACTTTCCTTCTACTTCAGTGAATGAATTATGTTTCTGGAAACAATCACAGCTCAGGGGCTGAATAGTTTTTAGAAACTATTAAAGCTAGAATGGTTGCACACTTATTGGGTAGAGCTCCTGTCTTTTGTTTCAATTGCATAAATTACATTTATGCACAGAAATTCTTTTTCATGGCCCCAAAGATGAAGACAGAAATGTGTAAGATTATTGCAACAGTAAATGCATAGTTCTTGCCATTGAGTGCATTTTTAAGGGAAAGATTGAGTTTAAAATGTGTTAATTTGCTATTTGCTGTGTGACAGATGTAACCAAAGGAATGAACTTTTATGTACAAATAGTTCACTGAAACCACTATGTGGGTATGAAATATAGGTTATCTTCTCTTTAGATAGCACCAAGCTTAAGTTTCTAACCTAGAATATCTGTTAAAAGTGATAATCCATTTGTTTACTGAAAAGATAAAAATCCTTAACTAGTTACTAATTTATGGCTTAGAGTTTTGGGATGAAGCTCTGTGTATTTATTTATTTTTTTAATTGAAGTGTTTGAAACTTATGTACAAGTTACTTCTTCATTTGATATTTTTAAAAAATTTGTAATGGATTTTTTTGGGGGAGTGAAGTTTTTTAGAGAGGCAGAAATATTTAATACAAAAACTTCTTAATGGCCTTGTAAATTCAGCCACCTCCTTGCTTTCTTTAGACATGAGGGCCTTTTAGCCTCATTTTCACTTCTGGAGCATCCTGAATGGCCCAGTGAATGTAGAAATTCCTGGAGTTCCACAGGAACAGCCTTGTATAGACAACATTGTTAGGTCAGGATCCTCATAAAGTCATTGTTGTACACATTTTTTGAGCGATTGAGGGAGTTCTGCTTTTTCTAGATGTATAGTAAACACCCATGGCATGTGATTCTATAAGGCAGTTGCTCTCTAGCCAAAAGAAATTGATCACTCATTGCAAGGTGAAATGAAGTAGGTTGTATTAGCAAAAAGGAAGGCATTACGATTAGTCACTGTGGGGCTGGCTGTACTCAACCTTGCGAATCATGTGAAAAAAGTTTCTTTTTATATTACCAACCAAGGACAAAAGAGAGCAGCAGTAAAGATAACTAGCACAAAATAAAACCATTCTTCTGAAGCAGAGTCACTTACTAATTATATTTTTCCAAGGCTGATATTACAAGTTTTTTCTCTCTCTCTCTCTCTCTCTCTCTCTCTCTGTCTTTCACAAGATTCCAACCAACTCAGATAGTGTGGAAGCAGGGAGGGCAGTATGGACAAGGTGGTGGTATGTGATCAACATTTGAGTTTGAAGAGCCAGATGTAGGTTATAAAGGATCAATGGAAAAAATTCAGCCAAGCAGATACAATTCAATTTCTTCAAATAAATTATTACTTACTTGAGGACAGGGATGGTTGCTGGGTACCAGAGAATTTAAGTATTCCAAAAAGGAACTTGTAATATTGAGGTTGGGAGATACATTTGATTTCACAAATCCTTTCTCTAAGAGACACTTTTGAATTACCTGTTTCATAACTGTTTTCTATATACTTCAAATAATTTTATAATAATTTTAGAATTATTTTTAAAAGACAATACTGGCCGGGTGTCGTGGCTCATGCCTATAATCCCAGCACTTTGGGAAGCTGAGGCGGGTGGATCAGGAGGTCGAGAGATCAAGCCCATCCTTGCCAACATGGTGAAACCCTGTCTCTACTAAAAATACAAAAATTACCTGAGTGTGGTTGTGCACGCCTATAGTCCCGGCTACTTGGGAGGCTGAAGCAGGAGAATCGCTTCAACTTGGGAGACGGAGATTGCAGTGAGCCGAGATCACGCCACTGCACTCCAGCCTGGTGACACAGAGAGATTCCATCTAAAAAAAGAAAGAAAGAAAAAGTACCTAAGAATCAGAGAAACTGAATGGAGAAAATCCTGATAGCATTTCCCCAAAACTAATATTTATTGTATGGAACCCCATTTCTTTGAGAATTTTAAAAAGGTTTCAGGGTTATTTAAATGTACAAAATGATCATTTTGGAGATTCACATGTCACACTGGTGGACTGTCAGTTGGGTTGCACTGTTGTCATATGAAACATCTTGTTTAAATTCACTCTAATATTACAATTTTTGAACAACAGTTCGGGAAACCCTACTATAAGGTTTACCAAATGGCCTCATTAGCAGTCATTTATTCATGCAAACCAAAGCTCAGTGAGAAGTATTTTTCACCGTTACTCTTTCTTGTGTCATTCAAAGAGAAGTTTTGATGTAGTGTATTTATTTGTAAGGAGTGATAAACAGATCCATGTCACAGTAGACTGTTCTCTCTGCTCTAGGTGATGCAGCTAACTGCCCAAGTTTGGAAAGCATGGACTTAGATGAATCGTCTTTGTTTGGACCCCTGCCTGGGCCAGGACCAGCCTTTGTGGACCGGAATCGATTATCCAGTGAGAGCAGCTGTAAGAGCTGGCTAAGCTCCATGACGATGGACAGTGAAGATGGCTACCAGATGTGTGTGTCTGAGGACTGCAGCAGGGGTGCCTTCAGTCGGCAGACAAGCACAGATGATGAGTGCTTTATCCCCAAGGAAGGGGATGATTTTCTGAGGAGGTCATCTTCAAGGAAGACCCGAAGCATCAGTAACACCAGCAGCGGATCCATGTCTCCCTTGTGGGAGGGCAACTTCTCAAGCATGTTTGGGACCCTGCCCCGGAAGAACAGAAAAGGAAGTGTCCGAAAGCAACTCTTGAAATTTATCCCTGGCCTTCATCGTGCTGTGGAAGAGGAAGAAAGTCGCTTTTGACGGATTGTGGTGTCCTTTCAAATTAGCTTATTTCACAAGTATCTCTGGACTCACCCAGATCTCAGCTTGGTGGGAAAGTGCAGATGAATTGCAAAACTGACATCCCATTTGACCGCAATAGTCACCTTTATTTAAATTGTTGTGTCATAGTTTTTGCTTCTTAAATTGTTTTTTCAACCCAAACATTACAAGTTCTAAGCAGACAGGGAAACTAAATAATAAGTTAATCAATATAACAAAGCTGCAAGTGCCTACTCATTTCAGTGCTGTCTGTGAAAGCAAAACTAATATTTATTTTCTAGATTATCCTTGTGAAAAATTGACAAGTTTTTGGAGTCAAGCATGAATAAAGGCGTAGCAGAATATAATAATCCGGACTATCTTCCATAGGATAATTGGTGGGTTATAAAATCTTAGGTTTGTTTATGCCCAATAGCTCCTGAGGAGGCTTAATAATAGGCGATTTTGAATTTGTTCAAAACTGTGATGGTTTGTAAACAAAGATGACCATCAGCCCTTTCTCACATCTACAGTGACAATAAAGTGGAAAGTATAAGACTTAGTAGGAGGGGTCAGCCGGGTGTGGTAGCTCACACCTGTAATACTAGCACTTTGGGAGGCCAAGGCGGACAGATCACAAGGTCAGGAGTTCGAGACCAGCTTGACCAACATGGTGAAACCCCATCTCTACTAAAAATACAAAAATTAGCTGGGTGTGGTGGTGCGTGCCTGTAATCCCAGCTACGCAGGAGGCTGAGGCAGGAGAATTGCTTGAACCCGGGAGGTGGAGGTTGCAGTGAGCCAAGACTGCATCGCACCACTGCACTCTAGCCTGGGTGACAGACAAGACTCCGTCTCAAAAGAAAAAAACAAAACAAAACAAAAAAACATTCATTCATGAGAACCCTGGAAAGATGTGGTCTGAGATGGGTTCTGACAAAGATCTTAATAAAGCCTTTTTTATAGTCAGTGTAAACAAAATGGGTGAGGAGGTCATGCTTTTTGCTCCATTCAACTTTTGTTCTGCTGAATGTTAATGGTAGGTCTAGAACCTTCTGAATCCTACAGCTTCATATATATATATATATATATATACATATATATATATACATATATATGTATATATATATATTTTACAAATGTCTAACATCCAAAATGTGAGAGTTGGGAAAAGGATTTTACTCCTGCAGATTTTTTTCACGTTACTTCTCACTTTATATCATGTATTCTAAATAGCCATCACCTCAGCAGCCTTTTGCCTGTTGGTTATGTTAGTATCACATTACTTCTAGCCTTTTAATTACTCTATGTTTTATTTAATATCCATTAAAGTCTATGAATTATGTGTTCTGGTGGCACAGCTGTTCATTACCTATATTCTAGAGTAGACAATATGGACTATGTAATAGTCTACTGATTTTAAGTTCTCTCTTTCTTTGTGTGTGTGTGTGTGTGTGTGTGTGTGTGTGTATGAGAGAGAGAGAGAGAGAGAGAAATAGAAACACTTTAAGTAGGACTACTAAATTTAAGTAAACTTCTGATGAAGGAATGAATTATTCTAAGAAAAAATGGGTAGTTAGCATGTAGGAGAAGAAATAAATGATAAAGTATTATAAGATTTATATTTGGGACCTGCCTTCTATTAACTCTTGAACTGAAACATCCAGTGGGTTCTGCATGAGAGTCATTTATATGAAAGGCAGAGTGAGACACCTTTCACAGAAACAACAGCAATCCTGTCTACCATTTACTGAATACCTAGTTGGCTAGAGACACTTTATGTGTGATCCTCACAATCACTATATAGTATGTGTTAGGCATACAGATAAGAAGGCAGGAATCTGGAATCGTTCTCAGGGTCACAAGGCTAGTCAGTGGCAGGGCTGAAGTTGTAAGTCAGTAAGTCAGTTCTTCCTTGCTGTAGTCTGTTTTAGATATCCTTTACTCTTTTGATTCTGTTCAGTGATCATCACAGTACTTTTTATTCCACCCAACAGGAATACTTAAAATATACAATTGTAGATACTGCATAGATAAGTGTATTTCTTTTGGTAAATAGCTAAACAAACATTTCTCTTGTCCCTCATACAAAAGTTTTCAGATATAGGTTCTTTAATAACTACATGATTAGCAATGCATTTATTTTCAACAAGAGCTTGCGAACCAGTTATGATTCAACTGATATTGCTTATTTCTCGTCATAGTCTAGAATCATCCTGTTAAAGGTTTACTTACATGAATTCAGCATTTCTTGTTATCCTGTTTCACAAAGTCCAGGGAAGGAAATACCACATTTATTTGAGAAAAGATGACTTTGAAATCTTCTACAAGGTGAAAAAAATGCTTTGAAAACTGCCATAGGTCATACGGGAAAACAGACCACAGATCATTTGCTTTTCTTGTAACTTTGATACAGAAATGTAATACTGCTGTATGATAGTAGACCTCAAACACAAAAAAAGGGGCAAGGAAGGGATGGAGCAAGGGTCACTTTAGTTTGCAGTAAGAATTAGAGTTGAGGTATGTTCTGAGATAAAGAAAAAATACTGGTTAACCAAAACACAGGAAGGAAGGGTATGTCATGTTTTATATGTTCACAAGCTGTGAGGAAACTAGCTTTTGGTTAGTGGAAATGTGGGCAAATTTCTCACAGTATAGCTTTTCAGAAAAATGTATGACCTCAGTGGGGCTTTAGAAGAAACTTCTGGTGCATAGTGACTCATTCTGATATAATTTACTGGGGAAAAAATGGAAAAGTGTTTTTTTAACCTGAAAGTTGTCAAACATGTAATACTGGTGAACTACATTAATTGACAACCTGTTATGAAAATGCATTTTTCCAGAAGAGCATTTGGTAAACCAAATTTGAATCAAGTGGATTGGGAATTACTTTATCACGGAGCTGAAGAACACCACCATAACAAACAGATTAGGAATATATTTTTAGAAGTGAACTTTTATTTATTACTTTCTACTTTTTGATAATTTTGTGTTTTAAGTGCATGATACAGATAGCATTTAAAAATCCCAGTTTGTACTGAAGATATCAAAATTGGATATAGTTTGTGTGTATTGATGACAAAGTACAGGCATTTTTGAATGTACACATACTAAAAATAGTAAGTAATACGTAACTATATTGAGTCCTTTAGATCATAAAAGTATTGTTATTTTATATTCATTTCCTTACATACCTATGGGCTATAAAATCAAAATTTGATGCCTTTATGAAACAAAGAATGCTATTTTTCAGTGTCAGAACTTTTTCTCTCTCTTTCTCTCTGTCTCTCCCCCTGCATTTCTCTCTACCATAAAAGAAATAATTGTTTTTAAAAAAACTGGGTGACTTCTTGACGTGTACTTCTTTGAGGACCTTAAAAGACACTACTTACTTGAGACTTTGCATTATTAGCTTTTTTGTTGCTATTTAACAGATTACTGTGGGGTGTGGTGGCTCACGCCTGTAATCCCAGCACTTTGGGAGGCTGAGGCGGGTGGATCACCTGAGGTCAGGAGTTCAAGACTAGCCTGACCAATATGGGGAAACCCCATCTTTACTAAAAATACAAAAACTAGCCAGGCATAGTGGTGCATGCCTGTAATCCCAGCTACTCTGGAGGCTGAGGCAGGATAATCTCTTGAACCCAGGAGGCGGAGATTGCAGTGATCTGAGATCGCACCACTGCACTGCAGCCTGGGCAACAAGAGTGAAACTCCATCTCAAAAAAAAAAAAAAAAAAAAAAAAAAAAAAAAAAAAAAAAAAAACACCACAAACTTAGAAGCCTAAAATATATTTATTATCTTAAAGTTTCTGTGGGTCAGGAGTCTGAGCACAGGTTAGCTAGATCTGCTCAGGATCTTACAAAGCTGCAATTAAGTTGTTGCCCAGGGTTGAGTTCTTACCTGGAGGCTTGGTTGGAGGATTTACCTTTAAGCTCCTTCAGGTTGTTGTCAGAATCATTTCCTGGTGGCCATATAATTTATAGTAGCTTGCTTCTTCAAAGCAGACAATGAAGAGGAAAAAGGGAGAGGCTGCAAACAAGAGTCTTAAATAGTACAATGTAATTGCCTTTGCCATATAGCATAACCTCTTAAGTGATTTCCCATCACCTTTGCCATATAATGTAACATTAAGGTGGGAATAGCATCCTATCAACTATACCATGTTCTGTTTGTTAGAAACATGTCACAGGCCCACCTACACTGAAGAAGCAGGGATTACATAAGTCATGAACATTAGGAGGTAGGGATCGGGGAGCACCCTAGTCTGGGTAACAGCATTCAAGGAGTTCACAGACTTGATAATATAAGGGTATTGAGCTGTCTCTAAACCCCCTTGAGTAAAAATTAGTGTATGTCATAATAATTTTTTTTGTACCCAGTTTTGCTCTTGTTGCCCAGGCTGGAGTGCATTGGCACAATCTTGGCTAACCGCAACCTCCAACTCCCAGGTCAAGTGATTCTCCTGCCTCAGCCTCCTGAGTAGCTGGGATTACAGGTGCCTGCCACCATGGCTGGCTAATTTTTGTATTTTTAGTAGAGACAGTGTTCCACTATGTTGGCCAGACTGGTCTCAAACTCCTGAGCTTGTGATCCTCCTGTCTCAGCCTCCCAAAGTGCTGGGATTACGGGTGTGAGCCGCCATACCCAGCAATAATTTTTACATTAAAAAAATGGAAGTATTAGTGAATTCTGGAATGAAATAACCTTGTCAAGATTATATAACTAGCCAAAAAGTTGATTAAGAAACTTTCTGGCCTTCTTACTTTGTCTCCTGGGTGCATGAAATGATAAAAGAATATTTTAAAAGAATAAGAAAGAATGAACTAGTTACTTGCTTTCAAATTTTACTTATGGAATCTGAATGGATTTAAGTGAATAGTGATTGGCATACTGAAGTTTGCCATTTCTAGGTAGGAGCATCTTTTTGAGCAGAGGATAGTAGGAAATTTTACATAGAAAATAAACAAAACATTTATTATCAAAACTATAAAGCACAAAAGGAAATGATCAGCCATGAGCATAGTCAGGAGATACCACAAAATTATCAGGACTTGATGGAAAATAGAAGTTTGAAAGAATATAAAAAAATGTCTTATGAATAAAGAATAACTTCCTCAGCTTGATAAAGAACATTTACAAAAACCCTACAGCTAATATCATAATGGTGGGAAACTGCACACTTTCCTTCTAAGATCAGCTACAAAGCAAATGTATTTTCTCTCACTTCTTTCTACATTGTATGAAAATCTTAGCTAGTGAAATAAGGGAAGGAAAAGAAATAAAAGACACACAAATAAAGAAGGAAGAAAAACTGTCTTTGTTTGAGGATGATATGTTGTCTATGTAAAAAGTCTCAAGAATCAACAG